GCACGGGTGGTGGTTCCGCTCCGCCCCCACTCCAATTGGGGTCACGTGACCACCACACTGGCAGGGCCTGATCCAGGCGTGGGAGAAGGATCTGCTCTGCCCCTACTCAAGTTGGGGTGATGTGTGTACCACACTGGCAGGCCACTGGGCCTGACCCACCAGGCTGTCACAGGTCTGTTTACCTTGCAAGCGCGAAGGGCGGCTCTGCCCTGCCCCTCCTACCACGCCCATGTACCACTGGGTCGCGGGTCTGCCCACCTTGCGGGTGCGGGTGGCGGCTCCGCTCCGCCCCCTCTCCAATTGGGGTCACGCGGTCACCACGCTGGCAAGCCGCTGGCGGCGGCCCGTCTCCTCCCCTCTGGCTCGACGACAAATTGAGGAGACTCGGGTGTCTGTGCCTCACCCCCCCTACCAGGAGACCAACTGTTTATGTTGCCGCTGGTATTGATGAAGTTCTCTCCTCCGCCGCTTTCTGATGACATCAGATCTCTGCCATGTTGGTATCCTATGCGAATGGCAGCATTTCGTTCCCCTTGCCGGGCAACCAAAGCAACGGGTGAGTCCTGACCGGCCCTCAGCAGGACCCGGACCGAGAAGCAGTTTCCGCGGGCTCCTAGCCCCGGGCCAGGGAAGTTCTGAGAGCCGGAACTCGGCCGCTCCGTGCTCGGTGTAAGCTCCTATAAGTGTAGGCTCCAAGAAGCAGTCCCCGCGGGCTCAGTTCCGGGAGCCGGAATTCGGCCGCTTAGTGCTTCGTGTATGCTCTGAGAGGAGCAGGGTCCAAGAAGCAGCCTCAGCAGGCTCTGCAGCCCTGGGCCAGGGCGGTTCCGGGACGGTTCCGGGAGCCGGAACTCGGCCGCCCCGCACTCGGTGTTCGCTCTGATAAGATCAGGTTCTAAGAAGCACCCAGGCACTGAACCCTAGCAATCTGTCTGCAAGCCGCAGGCGAATTGCAGCCTGAAATTACCTGTTCTATGGCTGAATCCCCTGTAAACATTTTGAATTTGGTTTTCCAATTCATTCTCCTTGTTTGAAAAATTTTCTGGCATTATTTCATTAAACAGATTGTTCATACCTTTGGTTTGGAACTCCATTCCTTCCTCTATCCCAATAACTCTTAAATTTTGTCTTTTTATGCTATCCCATATTTCGTATATCTTCTGCTCATGGTTTCTAACCATTTTCATTGTGTGGTCTTCATTCTTTTCAAGATTATATATTTTTTGGAACAAGACAGGGATGCCCTCTCTCACCACTTCTGTTCAACATAGTTCTCGAAACACTGGCCAGAGCAATTAGACAGACGAAAGAAATTAAAGGCATCAAAATAGGAAAAGAAGAACTTAAATTATCACTATTTGCAGATGACATGATTCTATACCTAGCAGACCCAAAAGGCTCTACAAAGAAACTATTAGAGCTAATAAATGAATTCAGCGAAGTGGCAGGATATAAAATCAACATGCATAAATCAAAGGCATTCCTGTATATCAGCGACAAATCCTCTGAAATGGAAATGAGGACAACCACTCCATTCACAATATATTCAAAAAAAATAAAATACTTGGGAATCAACGTAACAAAAGAGGTGAAAGACTTATACAATGAAAACTACAGAACCCTAAAGAGAGAAATAGAAGAAGATCTTAGAAGATGGAAAAATATACCCTGTTCATGGATAGGCAGAACTAACATCATCAAAATGGCGATATTACCAAAAGTTCTCTATAGGTTTAATGCAATGCCAATCAAAATCCCAACGGCATTTCTTGTAGAAATAGAGAAAGCAATCATGAAATTCATATGGAAAAACAAAAGACCCAGAATAGCAAAAACAATGCTAAGCAGGAAGTGTGAATCAGGCGGTATAGCGATACCAGACTTCAAACTATACTACAGAGCAATAGTAACAAAAACAGCATGGTACTGGTACCAAAACAGGCGGGTGGACCAATGGTACAGAATAGAGGACACAGAAACCAATCCACAAAACTACAACTACCTCATATTTGATAAAGGGGCTAAAAGCATGCAATGGAGGAAGGATAGCATCTTCAACAAATGGTGTTGGGAAAACTTGAAATCCATATGCAACAAAATGAAACTGAATCCCTTTCTCTCGCCATGCACAAAAGTTAATTCAAAATGAATCAAGGAGCTTGATATCAAATCAGAGATGCGCCATCCGATAGAAGAAAAAGTTGGCTACGATCTACATACTGTGGGGTCGGGCTCCAAATTCCTCAATAGGACACCCATAGCACAAAAGTTAATAACTAGAATCAACAAATGGGACTTACTCAAACTAAAAAGTTTTTTCTCAGCAAAAGATACAATAAGAGAGGTAAATAGAGAGCCTACATCCCGGGAACAAATCTTTACTCCTCACACTTCAGATAGAGCCCTAATATCCAGAGTATACAAAGAACTCAAAAAATTAGACAATAAGAGAACAAACAACCCAATCAACAAATGGGCCAAGGACCTGAACAGACACTTCTCAGAGGAGGACATACAATCAATCAACAAGTACATGAAAAAATGCTCACCATCTCTAGCAGTCAGAGAAATGCAAATCAAAACCACCCTAAGATACCATCTCACTCCAGTTAGATTGGCAGCCATTATGAAGTCAAACAACAACAAGTGCTGGCGAGGATGTGGGGAAAAGGGTACACTTGTACATTGCTGGTGGGACTGCAAATTGGTGCAGCCAATTTGGAAAGCAGTATGGAGATTTCTTGGAAAGCTGGGAATGGAGCCACCATTTGACCCAGCTATTCCCCTTCTTGGTCTATTCCCTAAAGACCTAAAAAGAGCATGCTACAGGGACACTGCTACATCGATGTTCATAGCAGCACAATTCACAATAGCTAGACTGTGGAACCAACCTAGATGCCCTTCAATGGATGAATGGATAAAAAAAATGTGGCATTTATTCACAATGGAGTATTACTCTGCATTAAAAAATGACAAAATCATAGAATTTACAGGGAAATGGATGGCATTAGAGCAGATTATGCTAAGTGAAGCCAGCCAATCCCTAAAAAACAAATGCCAAATGTCTTCTTTGATATAAGGAGAGTAAGAACAGAGTAGGGTCGAAGAGCATGAGAAGAAGATTAACATTAAACAGGGATGAGAGGTGGGAGGGAAAGGGAGAGAGAAGGGAAAATGCATGGAAATGGAAGGAGACCCTCAGAGTTATACAAAAGTACATACAAGAGGAAGTGAGGGGAAGGGGAAAAATAATATAAGGGGGACAAACGAATGTCAGTAGAGGGAGCAGAGAGAGAAGAGGGGAGGGGAGGGGAGGGGAGGGGGGATAGTAGAGGATAGGAAAGGCAGCAGAATACAACAGACACTAGTATGGCAATATGTAAATCAATGGATGTGTAACTGATGTGATTCTGCAATCTGTATATGGGGTAAAAATGGGAGCTCATAACCCACTTGAATCAAATTGTGAAATATGATATATCAAGAACTATGTAATGTTTTGAACAACCAACAATAAAAAATTTAAAAAAAAAAGATTATATATTTTGTTTTCATTGTCTGAGGGTTGGTGATGCTTTTAATTGAACTTTTAATTTGGTTTATTGTTTCTTTCATTTCATGATTTCTTTCTGGTTTTTTTTAAAAAAAAAAAAACCTTTATCTTCCTATTGAAGTCATTTTTTGCTTCCTCTATTTTTTGATGTAGCTCTTTTTCAAAATGATCTTTTGCTGCCTGTATTTGCTCTTATATCATCTCTTAGTTCACAGAACATTTTAATAATGTACATCCTGAACCCCTTCTCTGTAATATCTTTTGCTGTGCTAGCCATGGATTCTAATAATGCAGTATCTTGATTTGTTTGAGGCACATTCTTCCTTTATCTTTTCATATTTCTTGTGTGTCATTTCTTCTAGCACCGTGTATCTAGGCATTACCTATTTTACACTTTGGGCTTACTGTGTCCCTGTAGGAACCCAATACCTCTTCTTTGAAGTGAAGGACATGTTATCAGATCCCAGTATAAACAAATATACACCCTAAGAAAACAAATGTTTGCTAATAAGACGTTTACAGTTTGTTCACAATGTACAAAAATGGTGAATTGACTTCTACAATATACTCAGTAGGCTTGTAAAAGGATTTACAGATTCTGATGGTAGACAAGGAAACTGGGGTGAGGAATAGAATGACATGGTGAGGAGGTGGGAGATGAGGATATAGAGTTGTTATACCTTAGAAAATGTAAAAGAGAAATCTAAAGAGAGAAATTAGTAGAAGGATAGGAAGTACATTTGGGTAGACAATTAAGTGCGAAGACAGTAGAGTACATAAAACAAACACACAGATATATAAAGAAAAGTAAAAAATGTTTAAATAGAAGAACCTGGTGGGAAAAAAAGATTTTTAAAATTTAAAAAATACAATAGTATTAAAAGAATGTACAACATAAGGTAATATACTATTCACACGTCCCAGACCTCAAAATCCTAATTCATGCAAATTATTTGGTTTCACATATGTTGGGGATGTGAGGGCAGGAGAAAGGAGAAGGAGCAGGAAAGAGAGAGAGGGAGAGAGAGAGATAGGGAGAGAGAAAAAAAGTATTGAAGAAAGACACAGGGCTGGTTTTGGTTGTTTATCGGTATCTTTCCTGCTTCCCTTCTCATCCAATAGGTGGGGTCCTCTGATGTTAGCTGGTATCTCTGCCTTCAGAATGGTGAAAGTAAACAGGATGTAATTGTGCAGAGTTAACAGCTGCTAGGGAGAGTGGGGAGTTAGAAACTGAGTACCAGGAAGATGGTGATAAAGGTGACCCAAGATGGAGGCTCCTGCTTTCAGCAGTGGTGGTGGGGTGTCTGTTCTGGTGGAGGAAGTCTGGTGATGGTGTTGAATGATGAGTTCAGCAGCAAGCTCTGTGGCTGGCAGTGTCAGCTGACTTCAGAGCCTGTGTGAAGTTCCTAGGTGCTGGCAGGCACTGTGCATAGGTGATTAGGTCAGCTGCTGCAGAGTCCCAAGATAGCAGTGATCAGGGGATTTCCCACATTGGTAGATGAGGGTCCACACAGGGGTGGCAGACTGAGAGTTATTACTCATGGGAAGCTCCAGATGTCCTCCATGGAAGCAGCATCTGTGATTTCTGCTCGACTTGGTGGCCAAAAGTTCTTTGTGGGTACTGCTTCCACTGCCATGAATGGTCTCACTCAGGTATCCAGTAGTCCTGTGTGGGCTAGTAGTTGGGAGACCTACTCTGATGCCCAGGCCTGGAGCCCTGGACAGGTAAGGTGCTTCCTGCATGGGGCGGGAATATTGCTGGGATAGAAGCCATATTCTCACAACTTGAACCCCAGGTCACTGAGCAATGCAGAATTCTGCCTCCCTCTGGCCTGCCATCTTGGAACCCCCCTTAATCATCTTTTATCATCTACTCTTCACTCGCTGCTGTAATTTGTTCACTTATGGCTCTCTCTCTCTCTCTCTCTCTCTCTCTCTCTCTCTCTCTCTCTCTCTCTCCCTTTGATCTGAGAGATGAGTCTCATTCACCGTAGTGTCTGACTCCCCTGGCACAAGGGCAGCTGCCTCATGGCATGTGATGGGAGCAAGCACTAGCCACTTGGTCAACAGATAATTCTGACAGTGTGTGGATCTGTGCTGGTCCTACTTCTTGCTGCATGTGTAGCAGAAGGAAGGTAAAATGGCAGAGATTTAAATATTCTGTGTTTTCTCTACTCAGAATCTTTGGGGCCTACAGCACAGGCATAATCACTAGCACATCCTGGTACACAGAGGAATGATGCCACACTATCTTCATTCACATTGAGTGGAAGAGGGGCTGGCAGGGGCATGACCACAGGGCCAGCTAAAGCCAGAGACAAAGTTAATGTTGATTCCCTCAACAATCCACAAGATTCCTTTGTGGAAAAAAAAATGAAGAGCATCAGAGATTTAGATGTCTTTCATCCACTTTTTATTATCATTAGTATGTGGACTAGCATTTCTTTTTTTTTCTTTTAAATAACAACTTTTTAAAGATATCATTTACATTATAAAAATAGAGTCATATAATCTGTAGTCTTTTGTGATGTAAATGGCTATCATTTAGCATTTTGTTTTCAAGTGAAATATATATCAGTACCTCAGATTTTATGACTAAATAATATTTTATTGTATTTATATATCACAATTTGGTTATCCATTCATCATTGATGAAAATTTGGGTGATTTCTACCTTTTGGCCATTGTGAATAGTGCTATTATGAAAAAGCATGTGAAACTTGTTTGTGAACTCTAGTTTTCAATTTCTTCTGGTGTATACTAGGAGTGAAATTTCTGGCTTATACAATAATTCTGTGTTTCACTTAATAAAGAACCACCAAAAATGTTTTCTATAATAGTTGTACCATTTTGCTTTCTCACCAAAAATGGATGAGAGTTCCAATTACTTCACATCTTTTCTAAGACTTTATGTTTCCACCTCTAATTTTAGACATTGTAGTGGATGTAAGATGGCATCTCGTCTGGTTTTGATTTGTATCTTCCTATTGGTTACTAGTACTGAGCAATGTTAGTTAGTTTTTTATTTGTTATGTTTAGGTGTACATGACAGGAGAGTATATTTTGACATATTTATACAAAAATAGAGTACATCTTTTTCTAATTAGAATCCCAGTCTTGTGGATGTACATGATGTGGAGATTCACTGTGGAATATTCATCTGTGAACATAGGAAAGTTAAGACAGATCCACTATATTAAAGAAATATCTATCCATGGGCTAGGATTGTGGTTCAGTAGTAGAGCATTTGCCTGGCATGTATGAGGCACTGGGTTCAATTCTCAGCACCACATATAAGCAAATAAATAAAGGTCCATCCATAACTAATAAAAATATTTTTTAAAAAATCTATCCATGTCTTTTGCCCATGTATACCCAAAGCATTTGTCTTTTCATTTTGAGGCTTAAGAATTTTTATATAGTCTTCACAGAGATCCTTATTGGATTATGATTTACAACAGGTTTGTCCTATTCTATAGATGTCTTTTCACTTTCTTGATATTGTCCTTTGAAGGACAAAGTTTTTAGTTTTTTGCAATTTATTCCTTTCATGGAAGCTATATATACTTCAACCATTCAAATGGATGAACTAGATTTCAAAATCTTAAATGTATTAATCTCAAAGCTGTAAAGTTCATAAAAGAAAAGCAATTGACAGAAAATGCATGCAATGTGATGCTATTTATAAAAATGTTAAAAACTCAACATGTCACGGAAACTTCCATTTGAATGATGTGTGATTTATGTGTTTTCCTTTTATTGTTTGTGCTTTAAGTATCAAATCTCAGACTCCATTGAGGCCATATGGACTTACACAGTTTTTGTAATTTCCTGTCAAGAATTGTATAGCTTTAACTCTTATACTTAGGTATTTCAACCATTTTGAGTTAAATTCTACATACAGAGTCAGGTAAGGACAACACTTTATTGTTTTGCATGTAGCTATTCATTTGTTCCAGTTTCATTTTTTGAAGAGGGTCTGCCCCATTCAGTGGCAATGGCACCTTTCTCAAAATTCCACATGTCATAGACAGGTGGGTTTCTTTATGAACTCCAAATCATATTCCATTTATCTACATGTTACCCATCTGCCATGACCAATAATTCTGTGTTTCACTTAATAAAGAATCACAAAAACTCTTTTCTATAATAGTTCTACCATTTTGCTTTATCACTAAACATGTATTTTTGCTTTATGTTAAGTTTTGAAATCAAGAAATGTGAATCCTACACTTTATTCTTGATTTTCAAGATCATTATGGCTATTTGGGGGTCCCTTTAAATCAATTTGTCAATTTCTACAAAAAAAAAAGTCAGCTAAGATCCTCTTACAAAGGTCATTCAAACCTGCAAATTGATTTCAAGAGTACTGCCATTTTGCTGATATTAAGTTTTCTGATCCATGGACCTGGCATGTTTTTTGATAGTCATGTAGATCCTCTTTAATTTATTTCAACAGTGTTTTATAGTTATTATTGTACCTGTTTTTCACTTTTTTGGTTTTCTAAAAATATTTTTATAATAGATGGACACAATATATTTTATTTTTATGTAGTACTGAGGATTAAACCCATTACTTCACACATGCTAGGCTAGCACTCTACTAACTGAGGTACAGGCACAGACCTGTTTTGCACTTTTGTCAATTTGATTCCTAAGTATTTGTTCTTTTCAATGATATCATAAATTAAACTATTTTCTTCATTTCTTAATTTCCCTTTTGGATTGTTTATCACAGTGTATAGAAACAGTATATATCAGTTTGTTTTTGTGTACTGATCTTGTATTCTTCAGTTCTCATTCTCAGACAAAATTGAGAATCACTGATATCAATAATTTCTTAACATTATGAAGGACTTATACAGTTCAGAGTAATCCTGATTTACCCCCAGGAGTTCTGTTACAGAAAACTACTTTTTTTACATTTCAGTAATAACTCTTTCTGACTCTTATTTCCCCCCTCTTCTGATCCTTCAAATTCTAGTTCAATATACAAACTCTTCCAAGGAGTCGACCCCATCTAATGCAAGACTCATTCACTCCCCCATTTTGTTATTGGTTACTGCAAACTGTTTTCATCATCTAAGTTAATATTTTGTTATTAAAGCATCCCATTTGTAGGACTAAATTTAAACCAGTTGACTCTGGTTTAAATTTAGTTTTCTAAATGTGGTGCTGAGATTTGAATCCAGTGCCTCAAACAGGCTATGCAAGCACTCTATCACTGAGACACAACCACAGCCCCTGGATGCCTATTTTTTCTATATCTTAGTACATCATCCCACTTAACCACATCACCTTATTTATTCCTTTCATAAACTCCCAGTGGTGACTTGTAAGGGGACCTCACCCATGGCAAGCGTTCTGTAAATATTTAAGAAGTGACTTGAATTAGAATTAGATTCCATGGCTGTCATTTTTTTGCTCTTTTTAATTTTAAAATTTTACAAATGATATTTCTCTCTCTCTCTCTCTCTCTCTCTCTCTCTCTTTCTCTCTCTCTCTGTGTGTGTGTGTGTGCATGCACACACGTGTTTCTAAATATGCAGAAAATATTTGCAAACTATTTGAAATTTTAAAATAGTAATTTGTTACATTTATGGAACAATGTGGAATCTCTTCTGTGAAAAATGTAAAGTTGTCACTGAGTCATAAAAAGCAAGGTCTTATACGGCTTATTTCTAGGGATTGTTAATTTAATATGCATATCCTCCCCCATCTGTTAGTTTTCCATTTAGGAAATGAGAAGAGAGATATGGTTCTCATTTTCTTTGAGGATCCAGGGCAGTCATGTAGCTATGCTTTACATATGTACATATAGGGAACTTAAATCTGATAGAAAATAAGTCTCTAGTACACCTGGGATGGGGTAGGTACTTTCTGCAAGCTCCTAGTCTTTCCCAGCAGGAATTTCTCAATCTCCATGACAATTGTTTTCCCTTCCCTCTCCTGGGATCAGAAGATTACTCTGTTGGAGGTACCCCTGACAGTAAAGGAATGCCTTGGTCAGAATGGGGCAAAAGTGCTCCTCAAAACTCTGTAGGACTCAAAATTTCCTCATTTGCACTTCTCTTGGAAGTAAAGACAAAGAGGAGCCTTGGAGGGGGAAAGCATAAAATTTCCCTGAAGGTCTTGTCCATCTTTAAACTGCATGGGTTCAATCAAGAGGCATGACTGGACTCTTTTAGAAGGGAAGGACTACTCATATACTTCAAATTATAAAACCTACTCAGGGTTTCCTGTGTAACCCATGCATGAAGGAACCTGAGCAAACATCCATGAAGTTCACTTTATTTAGCTTTACAGAGTTTGACTCTGGTTTAAATTTTTTTAATTCATCCATTTTACTTAAAATTTTTTCTTTGTGGTAACAGGGAACTCAGGGCCTCACAGTTGCTAGGCAAGTGCTCAACCACTGAGCCTCATCCCCAGCTCTCTTGATAAAATTTAAATTAAAAAAAAAACACAAGCCTACATGATTTTATCCCAGGCATGGTAGTGAATAGATGCTTATGAAATATTTTGTTGAACGAACAGATGTATATATTCTTTCACTATCCAATCTTGACAAAGCTTATAGAATAAATGGAAGGAATCCCAGACATACAAAGTTAAAAGTAATTTTCATATATTTATACAGCTTTATTTTCTGAAATTTACCTGTTCTAATTCCTTCTGGTTTGGGTGCTTCATTTACTACTTTTAAGTATGCTAGTTTAATTTTT